TTCCGGTTGTTCATATCATATGTGTCCTAGCAGTGACTTGTTTTCTACATATGATTCAGTTGCATGTGGAGTTGTCCAATTAGGTAACAATGTTACTTGTAACATTATTGGCAAATGTACAATTCGGGCCAGAATGCACGATGATGTGGTAAGAACTCTCACCGATGTTAGATATGTTCCTGAGTTGAAGAAAGGTCTCATATCTTTGGGCACTTTAGAATCCCTTGGGTGAAAATTCACTAGTGAAAGTGGAGTTTTAAAAGTTTTTCAAGATGCTCTTGTGATCATGAAAGCACACATATCTGGTTCGTTGTATACTTTATTAGGCTCCACTGTTATAGGCTCTACTATAGTTTCGGTATAAAACAACTTGTCTGATTTTGATGGCATTAAATTTTGACATATGCCCATTGGGGCTTTTGTGGAGAAGGTGGAGAAAATTTACTATATCATCCAAAATTAGGCCAAGGTGGAGATTTATAATATGGCCATTATTTTGGCTAATGGAGTCTATATCACATAAGCATAAGAATCTTTGCAAAGTATAGACTTTGTTGGCAATATTCTTTGGGACCAAAAAATATTGCATTGTGTGTTGGACATCATTTGCACAAGTTGTGTCTCTTCTTTTACACCTAAGAGGCCAAGACTTTTTTGCCTATAAAAGGGAAGGCCATTAGTTCATTTTAGACACACCAACAAGACTTGAGTCTTCATTTCTTGTTTCTTCCTTTCTTCCTTTATTAAGAGTGTTTTGTATGAGAGTTAAGTGTTGGAAAGTACTAGTGTGAACCCTTTCTTTGGAGTGATCTTGTGAGGTTATTCCCTTAGGGTATTTGAGATTAATTAGAGTATTTACTCTAATTTTGTACTTTTTTTTGTACTCTTATTGTTATAGTAAATTGCCCTTCTCCACTTGTGGACGTATGTCACTTTGATCGAACAATGTTAAATTGGTGTCTTCTTTATATAATTTAATTATCGTTGTTATCAACTTCCATTGTCTTTGTTATTGTCATTATACCGTTGTTTGGCTATATTTCGCACTACCCGGAATCTCGATCCTAACAAATTGGTATCAGAGCCATATCTAACTGGGTTAGTTTCAATAGCCAAAATGACTCTAACAAAGACCTATGTTGAGAAATTTGACCGAAGTGCAAATTTCTGAATGTGGCAATTAAAGATGGAAGCTATCCTAATTCAGGATGGCTTAGACTTGGCATTGCAAGGAAATGAGAAAAAGCCGGATAAAATGACGGACGAGGAGTTTGCCATCATAGACAAAAAGGCAAAAGCAATTATCATTTTAAATCTCTCAAATGAGGTTTTATGTGAAGTTTCTATAGAAACCGTAGTTAAAGGCATGTGGGAAAAATTAAAAACCTTATATATGAAGAGGACGGTGAAAAATAGACTTTACCTGAAGCAGAAGCTTTATACAATTCGTATGGGTGAAGGTACCTCTATTCTCTCTCATCTTGACACCTTTAATTCCATTCTTATGGATTTGAGTAATAGAGATGATGAAATTAAAGATGAGGATCAAGCCGTGTTACTGCTTTGTTCTCTACCCCCATCTTTTAAGCATATAAGAGATACTGTACTTTATGTAAAGGATAATATCTCTTATAAGGATATTATAACTAGCTTAAAATCAAAAGAACAGATAGATAGTGATATTACTCGGGAAGCTAGTAGAACTCAAGAGGAAGTTGACTTGTTTGTTAGGGGCAAATCCGACTCCATATCCAGATATAATAACTTACAGTGCCACTATTTTCATAAGAAAGTTCACAATATCTCCGAATGCTATAAGCTGAAAAATAAAGAAAAGCATAAGGAAAGGAAAAATGAGCACAAAAATACTAACATTGCCAAAGCAAGTGTAGCGGCTGATGAGACTGAGGGAACTATATTTTTAGCAACTGAAACTAGTTTCAGATTAGACAATGAGTGGATTTTAGATTCCGGTTATTCATATCATATGTGTCCTAGCAGTGACTTGTTTTCTACATATGATTCAGTTGCAGGTGGAGTTGTCCAATTAGGTAACAATGTTACTTGTAACGTTATTGGCAAATGTACAATTCGGGTCAGAATGCACGATGATGTGGTGAGAACTCTCACCGATGTTAGATATGTTCCTGAGTTGAAGAAAGGTCTCATATCTTTGGGCACTTTAGAATCCCTTGGGTGAAAATTCACTAGTGAAGGTGGAGTTTTAAAAGTTTTTCAAGATGCTCTTGTGATCATGAAAGCACACATATCTGGTTCGTTGTATATTTTATTGGGCTCCACAGTTATAGGCTCTACTATAGTTTCGGTATCAGACAACTTGTCTGATTTTGATGGCATTAAATTTTGACATATGCCCATTGGGGCTTTTGTGGAGAAGGTGGAGAAAATTTACTATATCATCCAAAATTAGGCCAAGGTGGAGATTTATGATATGGCCATTATTTTGGCTAATAGAGTCCATATCACATAAGCATAAGAATCTTTGCAAAGTATAGACTTTGTTGGCAATATTCTTTGGGACTCAAAAATATTGCATTGTGTGTTGGACATCATTTGCACAAGTTGTATCTCTTCTTTTACACCTAAGAGGCCAAGACTTTTTTGCCTATAAAAGGGAAGACCATTAGTTCATTTTAGATACACCAACAATACTTGAGTCTTCATTTCTTGTTTCTTCCTTTCTTCCTTTATTAAGAGTGTTTTGTGTGAGAGTTAAATGTTGGGAAGCACTTGCGTGAACCCTTTCTTTGGAGTGATCTTGTGAGGTTATTCCCTTAGGGTATTTGAGATTAATTAGAGTATTTACTCTAATTTTGTACTTTTTTTTGTACTCTTATTGTTATAGTAAATTGTCCATTTCCGCTTGTGGTCGTATGTCACTTTGATCGAACAACATTAAATTGGTGTCTTCTTTATATGCTTTAATTGTCGTTATTATCAACTTTCATTGTCTTTGTTATTGTCATTATACCGTTGTTTGGCTATATTCTGCACTACCCGGGTTTCCAATCCTAACAAATTGGTATCAGAGCCAGATCTAACTGGGTTAGTTTCAATAGCCAAAATGCCTCTAATAAAGACTTATGTTGAGAAATTTGACCGAAGTATAAATTTTTGAATGTGTCAATTAAAGATGAAAGCTATCCTAATTCAAGATGGCTTAGACTTGGCGTTGCAAGGAAATGAGAAGAAGCCGGATAAAATGACGGACGAGGAGTTTGCCATCATAGACAAAAAGGCAAAAGCAAGTATCATTTTAAATCTCTCAAATGAGGTTTTACGTGAAGTTTCTATAGAAACCACAGTTAAAGGCATGCGGAAAAAATTAAAAACCTTATATATGAAGAGGACGGTGAAAAATAGACTTTACCTGAAGTAGAAGCTTTGTACAATTCGTATGGATGAAGGTACCTCTATTCTCTCTCATCTTGACACCTTTAATTCCATTCTTATGGATTTGAGTAATATAGATGATGAAATTAAAGATGAGGATCAAGCCGTGTTACTGCTTTGTTCTCTACCCCCATCTTTTAAGCATATAAGAGATACTATGCTTTATGTAAAGGATAATATCTCTTATAAGGATATTATAACTAGCTTAAAATCAAAGAACAGATAGATAGTGATATTACTCGGGAAGCTAGTGGAACTCAAGCGGAAGTTGACTTGTTTGTTAGGGGCAAATCCGACTCCATATCCACATACAATAACTTACAGTGCCACTATTTTCATAAGAAAGGTCACAATATCTCCGAATGCTATAAGATGAAAAATAAAGGAAAGCATAAGGAAAGGAAAAATGAGCACAAAAATACTAAAATTGCCGAAGCAAGTGTAGCGGCTGATGAGACTGAGGGAACTATATTTTTAGCAACTGAAACTAGTTTCAGATTAGACAATGAGTAAATTTTAGATTCCGGTTGTTCATATCATATGTGTCCTAGCAGTGACTTATTTTCTACATATGATTCAGTTGCAGGTGGAGTTGTCCAATTAAGTAACAATGTTACTTGTAACGTTATTGGTAAATGTACAATTCGGGTCAGAATGCACGATGATGTGGTGAGAACTCTCACTGATGTTAGATATGTTCCTGAGTTGAAGAAAAGTCTCATATCTTTGGGCACTTTAGAATCTCTTGGGTGCAAATTCACTAGTGAAGGTGGAGTTTTAAAAGTGTTTCAAGATGCTCTTGTGATCATGAAAGCACACATATCTGGTTCGTTGTATACTTTATTGGGCTCCACTATTATAGGCTCTACTATAGTTTCGGTATCAGACAACTTGTCTGATTTTGATGGCATTAAATTTTGACATATGCCCATTGGGGCTTTTGTGGAGAAGGTGGAGAAAATTTACTATATCATCCAAAATTAGTCCAAGGTGGAGATTTATAATATGGCCATTATTTTGGCTAATGGAGTCCATATCACATAAGTATAAGAATCTTTGCAAAGTGTAGACTTTGTTGGCAATATTCTTTGGGACCCAAAAATATTGCATTGTGTGTTGGACATCATTTGCACAAGTTGTATCTCTTCTTTTATACCTAAGAGGCCAAGATTTTTTTGCCTATAAAAGGGAAGACCATTAGTTCATTTTAGATACACCAACAAGACTTGAGTCTTCATTTCTTGTTTCTTCCTTTCTTCCTTTATTACTGTTTTGTGTGAGAGTTAAGTGTTGGGAAGCACTTGCGTGAACCCTTTATTTGGAGTGATCTTGTGAGGTTATTCCCTTAGGGTATTTGGGATTTATTAGAGTATTTATTCTAATTTTGTACTCTATTTTGTACTCTTATTATTATAGTAAATTGTCCCTCTCCGCTTGTGGACGTATGTCACTTTGACCGAACCTCGTTAAATTGGTGTCTTCTTTATATGCTTTAATTGTCGTTGTTATCAACTTTCATTGTCTTTGTTATTGTCATTATACCGTTGTTTGGCTAAATTCTGCACTACCCGGGTTCCCGATTCTAACATACCCCTATGTAGTAAAGGTAGAGAGGTTATTTCCAATATATACCCTCGGCGAGAAGAAGAAAGAAGATGATGATGAAGAAGAATTAAGTTGAAAAAATACTCACGACGAAGGGTTTCTTTCACTTTGTACGAAAGTTTAGATCTGAGAGCATGATGAACAAATGGTAATAGAAAGATGTGACGTATTCAATCAAACTGTTACATGAAATTTATCAGTTATTTTACCTATATAAGCTCTTAGAAGTTATGAAAGGTCTCCACACTTATTCTTGTATCTTCTCCACCTCTATTATTCCAATATGATACTATCCCAAACCACGTCTTACAGAAACATTGTGTCCCTTTTTTCCACTATGCAGACTAATAAACTTCATAGTACTATTAAAAAGCAAAGTCTTCCTGAAAGGAAGATTTCTACCTATAAACCAAACATTTGGAAATATGATCATCTACTTACTCTTACAAGTGAATATTCAGTGAGTATTTAATTACTTTTATCTCTTAAGTAATGTTCATCTTCGAAATTTTTTGTAATTAATAATCGCTCCTGCAGGAAGAGAAGTACAAAGTTCAGGCTGAGAAGCTAAAAGAGGAAGTTAGTTGCACGTTTTCAAACAGTACTATTAGTCCACTGGACCTGCTGGAGCTTATAGACAGCATTGACAAACTTGGCCTCAGCTGTTACTTCGAGGTTGAAACCAAAGAAGCTTTGGAAAAGATATTAATGTCTGTGAAAACTAGTTCCAGCTGGAAGGAGGAGAATCTGTATGCTACTGCATTGTGCTTCAGGCTTCTTAGGGAACATGGCCACCATGCTTCGCAAGGTTATCAATAAGTTAATTAATAATGTATATTTTGGATAATGTATAATTTGAAAAAAGTTAATCCATTAATAATGACTTGCATTAATTATTTTTGTAATTGAGTAATTTTCGAGTACGGATGGTTCGAAACGTAAAGACTACATGTTCTTTTGACGTAGAGTATTCATCAAACCCAATTATGCCTTATAAAAAGAACTAAGCGGTCGTTGTAAGTATAATCCGGTTTAAGAGTCCGGAGTCGAATCTCACAGAGAACTAAGGTTTAGTTACAACTATTTATTATCACTGAGAAGACAAGCTCGAACAGTTCCTAAGTTATAAATATTAAGATTGTTATGTCTAACTAATTAACTCACAACTTGGATTTAGACTATGTGGACAGGGCGGCTCAATAGAATTAGAGTTCTAAACCCAATACTAATTAAAAACCTTAAATTTATTTAGTAAAAATCATATACTGTATTTGTTAGGTAGAGGATTTAATTTCTAATTAAGAAATAAATTAAACAGGTCGGATAAAGAGAAATATCTGATTTAGAAAAACATAGTTGAATTGGAAAGTAAAATTATTGGAAGAGGAAAATGAATCCATAATCTAAAGGAGGTAAATATGCTAATTAATGATATATGCTAATGAAGGAGGTAAATTTAATCTTTAATACTGTAAATAAAAGATATATGAATTATAGTAATATATAAATAACTGTAAATTTGACTTAATTTTTGAGGCCTAAAAAGCAATATAATGTCTTTCTAATTTAATTTCATATTGTTTTTATTGTTGTACTACAGATATGTTAAAGGATTTCTTTGATGGCAAAGGAAAGCTGAAAGTCTCAGATGTGAAAACACTGTTGGAGGTTTTGGAAGGGTCATATCTAAGCATGGAAGGTGAAAACGTACTAGACGACACACGATTGTTCATAACCAAAAACCTCAAGAGTCTTGTATCTAAATCAGATTACACATTTACTAATAAGGAATATAATTTGAGCAATAGCTTGAGTTTTCCATTGGCATGGAGAGTGAAATGGTATGATGTTAGAAAACATATCTGTGCTCGAGAACTTGAATGCAACAACACAAATCCAATGTTGCTCAAGTTGGCAAAACATAACTTCAATATAATTCAAGCCACGCACCAAAAGGATCTCAAACACGTATTAAGGTACTTAAAATTAACATGTCAAATGAGAATCACTTTCTTCTCGTTGTTTATTTGAAAATAATTTCTTGTGAATTTAACAGATGGCGGAGGAATCTTTCCTTAGTTGAAGATTTGAGCTTTACAAGGGATCGGATAGTGGAAAGCTTCTTTTTTGCTGTAGGAGTTGCCCCTGAGCCACAACACGGAAGCATGAGAAAATGGCTCACCAAAGTGATTGAGTTGGTGCTAATAATAGATGATGTTTATGATATTTATGGTTCATTAGCCCAAGTGCAGCAATTCACTCGTGCCATTAAGAAGTAAGTTATAGTAAACTCAACATTTGATACAAATTAAAATTAATTAACCGTCCTGTTATTTAAATACTAGCTACTACGTACCTACGTAATAATCATGCATAAAAACGAGATTTTTCATATTTAATTAGGTGGGATCCAAATGAAGTAGAAGGGCTGCCAGAATGTATGCAGATCTGTTTCAGGTCATTGCATGATATAGTAGAAGAGATATNCGTCTAGACAACTGAAGGTGCATGAGAAAAACTATCATGTCCACGACCTTGCGTTAACAGCTATTGTTCATGCCTTGAAGATTTAGCGGCATTATTTGTACGATGTCCCTTGTGAGATCTACACCGATCACCGGAGTTTGCAGCATCTATTCAAATAGAAAGATCTTAACTTGCGTCAACAGAGGTGGTTAGAGTTGCTTAAGGATTATGATATCACTATTCTATACCATCCTGGGAAAGCCAATATGGTGGCCGCTGCCTTGAGTCGTAGGGCGGAGAGTTTGGACATCTTAGCATATCCACCAGCAGTAGAGAGGCCACTGGCATTGGATGTTCAGGCCTTGGCCAACTGGTTTGTTAGATTTAATATTTCTGAGCCGAGTCGAGGTTTGGCTTGTGTGGTTTCTCAGTCTTCTCTTTATGATCGTATCAGGGAGCGTCAGTATGATGACCCCCATCTTCTTGTCCTTAAGGACACGGTTCAACACGGAGATGCCAATGAGGTCACTATTAGAGATGACGGTGCATTGAGGATGTAGGGCAATGTGTGCCAAATGTAGATGGTTTGCGTGAGTTGATTCTCCAGGAGGTTCACAATTCACGGTACTCCATTCATCCAGGTGTCACGAAGATATATCAGGACTTAAGGAAGCATTATTAGTGGAGAAGAATGAAGAAGGGCATAGTAGAGTATGTAACCCGGTGTCTAAATTGCAGTGGGTGAAGTAAGAGCACCAACGACCAGGTGAATTGCTTCAGAAGCTAGAGATTCCGTAGTGAAAATGGGAGCTGATCACTATGGATTTTGTTGTTGGGCTTCCACAGACTCAGAGGAGGTTTGATGAAGTTTGGGCAATTGTGGATAGGTTGACCAAGTCAGCCCATTTCATTCCAGTGATAACTACTTATTCTTCCTAGTTGCTGGATCGAGTTTATATTCACGAGATTGTCAGGCTTCATGGCGTGCCCGTATCCATCATCTCTGACCAGGGTACGCAGTTTACATCGCGGTTCTAGAGGGTTTTCCAACATGAGTTAGGTACTTGGGTTGAGTTGAGACGGACGGACAATCTGAGCGTACTATTCAAATACTGGAGGATATGCTTCATGCATGTGTGATAGAGTTTGGGGGTTCTTGAAATCAGTTCTTTCCACTTGCGGAGTTTGCCTACAACAACAATTATCAGTCGATCATTCAGATGGAACCGTATAAGGCTCTATATGGTAGGTGGTTTCGGTTTCCAGTGGGTTGGTTTGAGCCGGGCGAGGCTAGACTATTGGGTACATACTTGGTTCAGGATGATTTGGAGAAGGTTAAGGTGATTCAGGATCGACTTCGTACATCCCTGTCTAGATAGAAGAGTTATGTGGATCGAAAGGTTTGCGATGTTGCATTCATGATTGGTAAGCGGGTCTTGCTCTAGGTTTCGCCCATGAAGGGTGTTATGAGGTTCGGTAAGAAGGGCAAGCTGAGCCCTAAGTATATCGGGCCTTTTGAGATTCTTGAGAGGATTGGAGAGGTGGCTTATAGACTTGCACTACCACCTAGCCTAGCTGCATACCATCAAGTATTCCATGTTTCTATGCTCCCGAAGTATCACGGTGATCCGTCTCATGTGTTAGATTTCAGCTCAGTCCAGTTAGTATAGGATTTATCTTATGTTGAGGAGCCGTTGGCCATTTTGGACAGGCAGGTTCAAAAGTTGAGGTCAAAGAACATTGCTTCACTGAAGGTTCAGTGGAGGGGTCAGCCAGTTGAGGAGGTGACTTGGGAGACCGAGCATGATATGCGCAACCGTTATCCTCATCGTTTCACCGCTTCAAGTATATCTCTATGCTCGTTCGAAGATGAAGGATTGTTTTAAGATGGGGAGGATGTAACGACCCGGCCGATCATTTTGAAAGTATTAGCCCCCTCCCCCATTTACTACTCCTTTTGTACTTTATAGCCGTTATGCCACTTGTCGGGTTATTCGGTTCGGGTCCGGAAGGTTTTTGGAATGAATTGAGACACTTAGTCTCAAGGTTGGATGTTTAAGTTGAAATGGTTGACCGGATATTATTTTATGTGCAAACGACACCGGAATGGAGTTTTGATGGTTCCGTTAGCTCCGTATGGTGATTCTAGTCTTAGGAGCGTGTCTGGATTGTGATTTGGAGGTTCGTAGTTGAATTAGGCTTGAAATAGCGAAAGTTGGATTTTGGAAAGTTTGACCGAGGGTGAACTTTTTGATATTGGGGTCGGATTCTGATTCCGGAAGTTGGAGTAGGTACGTAATGTCAATTATGACTTGTGTGCAAAATTTGGGGTCAATCGAACGTGATTCGATAGGTTTCGATATCGTTTGTAGAAGTTGAACTTTCTTAGTTCATTAAGCTTGAATTGAAGTGTGATTCATGTTTTTGACGTTGTTTGATATGATTTGAGGGCTCGTCTAAGTTCATATGATGTTTTAGGACTTGTTGGTGTAATTGGTTGAGGTTTGAGGGGCCTCGAGTGGATTTCGGTTGGTTAACGAATTTGGATTTGAACTTAGAGAGTTGCTGAAGATAGAAAGATATTGGTGTAATCGCACCTGCGAAAGTCTCATCGCATGTGTGAGCTCGCTGAAGCGAGAGGGCGAGCGAAGAAGCAGGATTCAAGAGGTGGCCAGGCTTGCAGGTGCGATGGTGATGCGCATCTGCGAGCCCGCAAATGCATGCGTGGTTCCGCAGAAGCAGAGAATGAGCTGGAAGGGAAGTCCGCAAAAGCGGACAATGTCCACAGAAGCGCTGAGAGGTCCACTGGTTCAAGCCTTTTGGCTTAAGTTGGAACCGTACCTGCGATGGTATTTTTCGCAGGTGCGGAGTCACAGATGCGGCTAAGTACTCGCAGAAGCGGAAAGTACTGAGGAGAATATTTAAAAATTGAGGGTTTGCTAGTTTCTTCATATTTTGAGATAGAGAGCTTGGATTGAGGCGAGAGTTTGGGAGATTTTCAGAGAAAATATTTGGGTAAGGATTCTTGACTCATTTTTTATTATATTCCACTAATCTATCGTTATTTTTGTCATTTAATTGAGGATTTGGGATGTAAAATTGGGGGGGGGGAAGGTGTGTGGTTCTTAGACCGAATTTTGAGGTTTTGATCGAGATTTTGGTATCAGATTTGAGTAATTTTGGTATGGGAGAACTCCTGGTTAAACGAGTATTCGGATTTTGTGACTTTTACCCAATTTCGAGATGTGGGTCCGGGTCGATGTTTTGGGGCGATTTTCTAATTTCTTGTTAAAGTCGTGATTTCATCAATTAGATTAGTTTCTTATAGTTATATTTATAGTATGAAGTTGCTTTTGGCTAGATTTGTGCCATTCAGAGTCGGAAAGTCGAGAAAAAGGCATTCTTATTGACTGATTAAGCTTGGATTGAGGTAAGTGACTTGTCTAACCTTGTGTGAGGAAAATCCCCTTAGGGTTTGGTACTGTTGTAACAATTTGTTATATGTGAGTGCCATGTACGCGAGGTGACGAGTGCGTACACGGGCTAATTTTTAAAAATTCAGCATTTGCTAAGTAGTATCCTGTTTATATCTTAAATGAGTTATTCCAGCATGTGTAGCCCTCATGTTTTGTCTAATCTCACATGTCTATGTGTTTCATCTCTCAGTTGTAATTTGTACATCATGCTTAGTTGAATTACTTATTTTTCCTTGATTCCGTATTTGTTCTTTAACTGTAGGATTTCCTTACTTGTAACATCCTTGTTGTGTTTATTGTGTGTTGACTTTCATAATTCTTGCTGTGAGGATTGGTTAGTTGTAGCACGAGGTTTTTATTGTGCCGCTGGGAGATATTTACTTTTGGGACTATGAGACGGTACCTAAAGAGCGCCCCTGTTGCATATTTATTTTTGGGACTACGAGGCGGTACCTCGGGAGCGCCCCCATTGCATATTTACTTTTGGGACTACTAGGTAGTACCTCGGGAGCGCCCCCGTTGCATATTTACTTTTGGGATTACGAGGCGGTACCTCGGGAGCGCCCCCGTTGTATATTTACTTTTGGGACTACGAGGTGGTACCTCGGGAGCGCCCCTGCTGCATATTTACTTTTGGGACTACGAGTTGGTACCTCGGGAACGTCCCTGTTGTTTTCTTATCTTTGCTATATTGTTTTGTTGTAATTGTCTTCCTGTTTTTCCTGAGTTATCGCTTTCAGTACATTCTTAATGTTTCATTTACTTGCCACCCCTTGTTATCATTTCGCCTTCTGCCTTACATTCTTATATTCCAGTAGGGCTCTGACCCGACTGCGTCACTACTCTACAGAGGTTAGGCTTGGCACTTACTGGGTACCGTTGTGGTGTACTCATATTACGCTTCTGCACATGTTTTGTGCAGACCCAAGTACATCCTACCAGCCCCGATATCAGTAGAGTATGTGCTGCTGCTTGGAGACTTCAAGGTATATCTGCCAGCGTCCGCAGACCTCGGAGTCTCTCTCTATCCTTTTATGTTGTTTCTTCGTTATCTTTCATTGATGCTGATGTATAGAGATAGTTAGTACATTCCTTAGAGCTTGTGACTTGTGACTACCGGGTTTTGGGAGTTATTTATACTCGAAATTGTTGGTTTTACTTGTACATGCCGAGCGGCAGTGTTCAGTATTTTATATATGTTGAAGTATGGTCGTTTTTTCTGTTATTATTTCAGTTATTATGAAATTGTTAGGCTTACCTAGTCTTAGAGACAAGGTGCCGTCGCGATATCTTATGGAGAAAAATTTGGGTCGTGATATATACTACATATGAAATTTTATTACCCTCTCTAATCAAGTTTTAACTTAATTACATGGTCATATATAATTTATCAATTATAAATAAATTAGTTTTAAATGAGTTTTCCTTTATATTAGGAATTGAATAAGGAATCAATTATTTCTCATCCATGTTCTCTCTCTCATGTGCTCTCTCTCTCTCTCTCTCTCG